CAGCGAAGATAGATTTAGAAATAAATCCATTAATTAAAAAGAGAAAATAAATTAGACAATACTTTCAACACTAAAGACAGAGTTAAAAGTAAATCCAAGAATTAAAAAATAAAATAATTGGACAATACTTTCAACAATAAAAATAGATTTAAAAATAAATCAATTAATTTGAAAAAGAAAATAAATTAGACAATACTTTCAACAACAAAGATAGATTTTAAAAAATAAATTAATTTTAAAAAGAAAATAAATCAGACAATACTTTCAACAATATAGATTTAAATATAAGCCAATTAATTAAAAAATAAAATAATTGACAATACTTTCAACAATAAAGATACATTTTTTAAAATAAATTAATTTTAAAAAGAAAATAAATTAGACAATACTTTCAACAACAAAGACAGATTTTTAAAAAATAAATTAATTTTAAAAAGAAAATAAATTAAAAAAAGTTAAAAAGAAATAAATTAGACAATACTTTCAACAATATAGGTTTAAAAATAAGCCAATTAATTAAAAAATAAAATAATGAAACACTACTTTCAACAATAAAGACAGATTTAAAAATAAGCCACTTAATTAAAGGATAAAATAATTAGACAATACTTTCAACAATAAAGATAAATTTGAAAATTATTGAAAAAAAGAAAATAAATTAAACAATACTTTCAACAACAAAGATAGATTTAAAAATTAATTAATCCAGAAAAGAAAATAAATTAGACAATACTTTCAACAATAAAGACAAATTTAAAAAATAAATTTATTTTTTAAAAAGTAAAGCAATTAGACAAGTCAATCCAGTACTCCTTGAAATGGAAAACCTTGTCAACTAGTGTTAAAAAGGTTGAAAGCTAGAACGCGGAGGCTACGTTCCACATTTGCAGCCGCCTTTCTTCGTGTTTCATTAACTGGAATATTTTAAAAATATTCCTGCTAATATTCACCATTTCAATGATTTTTTCTGCGACCCCACAAGCCGTGTTAGGAGACACCTTAACTAAAAGCACGACGGAGGGGTTTCCAATAACAGACGAAGGCCCCACCCACAGCCCCGTGACTTTTTATTGTAGGAAAACACCGCCCTGGATTAAGTAAAATTACTTCTTTTTGTTTTTCTTGGAAAACCGGATGAACCGGCCAGTGGGAAAAATCAGGCCTAGCTCTTCCGAGCGAACGGAACATAGTCCAAAATTTCATTGTCGCCAAGCACAGAGAAGGCCTTTGCAAGGAACCACTTCCCTCGCCGCCTCTTAAAATCCCATGTGCGCCCTTGATGTACGTTTTTATGACGTTTATCGTGAGCTCATCAAACTATTGTTCACGACGTATTAAGTCAAGTTAATCACATTTTACGCCTTAAACGTACACAGCGCGGCAGGCCCGCCGCGTCTCCCTAAAATCAAAACCCTTGCCCGGTATTTTTGGCTGTTTCTGAAATCCTCAAGCTCGACATCCCCATCGGTCCCTTAAGCCGGATTTTTTTTTTTTTTTTTTTTT